CCTCCACACCACACATTCCCACCCGAAAGAAGCAACAAACCTGTGAACACGGAGTCCTACAGGGTGACGAGGCAGTACACCCGGTCCCAAAATAACCGACCGAGCTTCAGTGATGCGTCTGTGTCAATGACAAGCGGGCCCAGCAAGTGGCCGGCCCACATGTCACTCACCCAAAGGCAGGAGAGGTACCCAAGCTCTGTCCCAAAATCACCGCGTCCTGCTCGTCGAGTCTCTCTTGTGTCCTCTGTCTCGTCTTCTCCCCCCACCCCACTCCCCCACCCCCACCCCCAGCCGGTGTGCAAGGAAGGCCCAACATTTGGTACTGCAATTTCCCTTTCGCTTGCTATTCTGGCCTCGCAGTTGTTCTTGTGCGTCCTAAGGTGCAGATTTCTCGCTGTGCGGACCTTATTCTGAGCGAGTTTTCGACTGTTCTTGCTGCCTTCGATTTGTTGTGCGATTTCCAGATAATTTTACCTTTTTCGCAAATGCTGTATCCAGAGGACCAAAGATAACCCCCGTGGATTTCTTCCCCGATCTCTGTTTTTTTTGGGTGGTCAAAGGCGACCCTTTCCCAGAGAGCACATCAAATGTTCTTTTCGGAGGTTTGGAAGAAAACATTTTTCTAACCTAGTTTTTTTTTTCCGTGGAAAACCCTAAAGTTTTGATTCTGGGATGCTTGTCCGAAAGAGCAGGTTCAGATCTTGCGACTCCTTTTGATTTTTTCTTGTCTTGAAAGCTGGAGAACATGTTTTCTTGCTTTTTATGCTTTCTTCTGGGTACATGCCAGGGGAAGTACAGTACTACTCCCCTTTCAGTATGACTGTTCTTGCTGCTTGGGGTCTGGTCAGGCCGTCCCAGCCTTCGATTTGTTGTGCGATTCCCAGATGATTTTACTTCTTTCGCCAATGCCGTTCCCAGAGGACCAAAGATAACCCCCATGGATTTTTCCCCGATCTCTGTTTTTGGGTGGTAAACGGAGCGCCCTCACTTTGTGACATTTACCCCCCCCTCCCCCCCCCCCTCTGCTATTCTAAGGGGGAAAAAC